ATACCACATTTTCTCAATCCGTTCATCTATCAATTGGTATATAGGCCATTTCTGAATTTTCCGTATCTGTTCATCCGTTTATGGACAGTAGACTGTTTCCAAACTCAGCACTTCATTATACAGCTCAACTTCACGTTCCTGGGTTCTTCTTCTCTATCCCACGTCTAAACTAAAGAAAGACCTAAGTTCTCAGACTGAAGGAGCTTGTCAGTCCCAGAGGGAATAAGCCTTAAAAATAACCTCACACATAGTGAGATAAAAATAAAACTCCAAGCATCAAGGTGAAAGGGCAATCCTACAAGGTACGATAAGGGTCAGAGAGGTTCCCTAGGAGTGATGAGAACCCGATCGACAGGAGGCGGCTGATCACCACAGCAGCTTGAGGAAACAATGTCACCATAGCTCAGGAAAAACAAATTCAAACCTGGAGTTCAAAATGAGCCAAACCAACACTCAGACAGAGTTCAAAATGAATTCTCACATCAGCTGTCAGGCAAACTATTCCCTGCTCTTAAATGGAGAAGAGAAGACACATAAAACATATGAAAAACCTATCAGAGGAGGTAAACCAGCAATGAGAAAAACAAGCCCAAAAGGTAATAGAAAGCAATAGGCAGAAAGCAGGATTTGTGTCTTATTTTCATAAATGGGAAGTACTCTTTTTTTCCAGAGGAGAAAGAAAGGTAGGTAAACAATTTAATTTTACCTTTGCATAATAATGTCACTGTTTACCACATGCTTTCAGAGAGTCAGAAGCCAGAATGACAGGACCAACAAAAATCTGATTTAAAGGGGAACAATATTAGGATCAATCATGGTAAAACCTGGAAATGCAATGCCCGGGTCTAGCCATATATTACACTCCTTACTGTAGAAGCTTCTAACAATGCCAGTAGGTCCGAGGAGCATGACAGAAATGAAATTTAGTAGGCTGCCTTTCTTACTTTCCCTATCAAGCTGGTCTAGATTATGGATTGGAGCTATGCAGGTGAAGCAACCTACAATCAAGACCTCAGATCAGCTGATAGGCTCTGAGGAGACTCGGGAGATGTTAGAGGACTCTCGGCATCAGGTTAGAGTAGCAGGGCCACCACTCTGCCCAGCAGGCCTGCTAATGAAAGATCTCAGGCTCTACAAAGGCGGCTGTTGAGAAACTCGTGGGGCTGTTGCTTGTGTCATATGTCACAAATTTAATGCTTGGAATCTCTTGCTTGAACTTTTTTTATGCCATCCCTGGTGCACAAAAGCAACTGCCAAAAAGCAGACATTTTCCTGTCTCTAAAAATAAAATGCTGGCAACATTTCACGCCACTGTGCCAAAACCTGGCCCTTCCTAGGATAAACAATAGGTAGCCAAGCTTGTTGGAGGCAAACGCTGAGTCCTAAAGTCGGTCCGTGTTAGCCTGAAATGCCAAGGTCAGGGCATGTGCAGCTAAAAGCCAGCAGGCCAGAGGACGCCCTCCCTCCTCCACTACTGATGGAGGACAGCTGCCTAGCCTGGGGCCAGGTGTGGCCCGAGAGAGGATAGCTTCAGGTTTCACCAGAGACCTTGGCCCAGTAGAGGTCGCAGAGCCCCCACCAGATCCTCCCCAGCGCAACAGACCTGAAGGCCTCGCAGGTCCTGAGCAGGGGAGGCTCCCTAGCGGGAAAGCATTTCCTAACCATGTATGGCCACTCATCTCTCAGCCACCCTCACCACCTGCCAAAGCCCCTGTCACCCAGCCTAAGGGTCCCCACCTGCACACGCAGTCGCAACAAAGCCATCCTAGCATATGAATGCTAGAATAGTCAGGGTTTCTTTTCGAGGCTCCCAATTACTCACCTACCTCTACAGCACATATTCAAACCCCCTGCCTACCTTGTCTTTAGGGTTCAAATCTTCCCTAGACCATTCATTTGGCTTTTCGCTGGTTTGGGGACTTAAGAGGCCTAAGAGGGGGCTAGAGGAGGAGTCTGCCTAAATATAGCAAATATGTGCAGGCACAATCACTCCATAAACATGCTTCAGTGGAACCGAGCAGAGAGCTGACCCAGATGACGGATGTCACTCACCCCTGTGTCACATCATAAATAAAAATGAATGAGCCCATTCTCCTGCAAAACCAGAGTGCTGCCAGGCTATAAATATGTATGAAGTCATCCTTCCTAAACGACTTTATTTTCCCAGGTAAATAGTTTTAATAAAAAAGTGAAGTGGAGCTTTTCCTGCGATTATGGAGTAATAACCATTGCTTTTTCAAATATATTCCATGGACAGGAAAAAAAAAAAAAGGAAGAACAAGTCCCAGCTCGGTGAGCTCCTGTACATGGAGCTCCCATTTGTGCCAGGCCAGGTTCATTCTTATTCCAAAAGTGACAGCCTTCTCAGAATGGCAGACCCAGACGGAGAACCATGAGTCCTGCCTGTTCCCCAGGCCTGGGTAATGAAGGTGGCAGACAGAGCCCTGTCACCCAAGTTCAGGCCCCTCCCACCAGCCCTGCCAGGAGACCAGCTCCTTAACGTTTGAAGCCGGTCTCTTAGTAACAGAAAAGGGGAAAAAAATTGCACACCTCGCCCCCTTACTATGCTCATTTAAAAAAAAAAAATTCTTAGAATGTGAGGCTGTGAGCCTCAGTGTCTGTCGGGTGTTTATGCGTCAGGGGCTTTAGCTCTCCGCTGCTCCTGCTGACCGCGTTAGGAATGGCACTCCCAAAAGGTGCCAGCATGGGCAAGCTCCATCTCTGCCCTGTGCATGGCTAGCAAAGAACAAATGCCCCTCGCACCCTACCTCCCCTGTCACTGAAACGGTCCCTTGACCCAGGACTCCCAAAGCATTGTTCCTGCCTCCATACTTCCGCGTAGCTAGTTTACATGCTGTTCATCTTCTGAATGCACCCAAAGCCTTTTCCCAAGTCCGTGGAGCCCGCTTCTTTCCCGAGCATGGCCTTTTGCCTGAGCCTCCTCCCTTCCAAACCTCACGGTGGCCTCAACTCCATCAGGCTGCTCAGGCCCCTGCGGGGACAGGCGCTGGCTCCTGGGAAGTCTCCCTGTGGCTGGGTGAAGTCACAGGCTGCCTTGACCGCCCTGTGGGAGAGGCCGGGCTGCCAGCGCCGTCTGTGCTCCGCGCCCACCCACCTTTCTGGCTCAGGCCGCTCGCTGCCGGGACAGCCCAAGTCATGAAAGTCAGCACATTTCTTGGGTGTGGGATCGTTTTTCCCTGTTACTACTTTGCTTTTGTTTTACGCAGCACCTGGTTTCATTTTTAAAAACCCAAATAAAATCACAGGGCTGTAGCTGTGGCGGGGACAGGAGAATAGGAAGAAAAGCAAAAGAAAGAAGGGAGGGCAACCTAGGCTTGGGGGAGGGAAGAAAGAGGTAGCCCTCACCCCAAAAAGCGCGGGGTGGGGGGTTGGACAAAGAGGGAAGTGCAGAGAGGCTGGAAGGAGCGGATGGACGAATTCAGTCTGGCCCGCGGGCCAGGTCTCCCACCACCTACCCTTCAATCGGGCAGCAGCACTGCCCAGCCGCGGTCCTTCCCAGCCTCCTCGCTAAATTGGCAAGCTTGCCTTTGATACAGATTCTAAGGCACTGTCCAGGTACCCGACTCTGCAGTTCATAAGCCTGCTTGCCCCCTTCTACTTGGGCACTCTAACCCATGTGTGAGGAAATATTTTCCACGAGCTAACACGCGTGTTGTTCTGACGTTTCCACAGGAGACAGACACTGGCGAAGGTGTAGGTAGCCCCAACTCTACCAATGCTCCTGGTCGCATCGAATTTCTGTGGCCAGGCTATTTCTGTACATTCATGTTGATTTTTAGAATTAAAACAGCATTCTAACAAGCTCTGGGTTGCACACAGTGGAACAGGGATCCCGGAGGAAGGAATGCGAGCCGTCATTGCGCAGGGCTGCATTTCCTTGAAGTCCTGAGACCCAGTAATTACGGCCTCGGACCAAGAGCCTTGGCCATTAAACTCGGAATTTCAGTCTGACTCAGGCTGGCCAGGGCAGAAATCCTGGAGGGTCCGGAGCTGCTCCAGGGCTGCATTCTCGACGCACGGTGCTGGCGAGCTAATGGAGACCATATGCCGAGCTCCCGGGAATCAGCCCAGATGGCTCCGGGGAGTGCGCTTTAGCTCAACCTGGGGCTAGGGACCAAAGCGCTCACTAGGGGGCGGGGAGGTACGGGCGGAGCGTCCCCGCGAGTTTTAGGTATTTGTTTTCCTCCGCAGAAATCAACTCAAAGTCGTGATACGCGGGAGTGTGTGGGAGCCGGCGGCGAGGGGCGGGGAGCCCACGGCGGAGGAGGAAGAGGGAGGAGGAGGAGGCTGCTGCCCTTGGCCAGACGTGGCTCCGCCTGGCACAGCAGCGGCTGGGGCCAGGGGCTGCCAGCCCCGCGCCAGACCCTTCCCGCCCCAGCTCCCAGCTCCGCCCCGCCTGGAGAGACAGGGGGAGCTGCGGACCTGGGGAGGGGAGGATGGATGACTGGGGGAGAAGGAGGGGACGGGGGGAGGGGAGGTGGGTAGACTGGGCCAAGGAGCCTCAGAATCTGGGACGGAGGAGGCTGATCGTGGGCCCGGGGCAGCTGAGGGGAAAGGGGAAGCGGGCTGTGGCCTACGGAGCCGGGTCACCTCCGCCCGCAGGCGGAGCCCTTGGCCTTCTGGCCATGGCCTGTGCTCTGGAAAACCTGGCTGCTTCAGGCTCTGGGCAGTTAACACAGAACAGCCTTTCTCACGCCCTGCACCCTTCCCGGGGCTCCGCAGACGAGGGAGCTCTGAAGCCGGGTGCACAGGGGTCTGGACCCCAGCACTCTGCGTGGGTGGAGAGAGCGGCTTCCAAGCACTTAACTTTAAAGAAACTTGAATGATTATAGCGCTAACTTTTGTCCCCAGCCTGCAGTCCACACGCACACGTGCACACACACACACACACACACACACACACACAGGTAGGGATGAGGCGAGGCGTTGGAGGCCACGTGTCCACCCTGGCAAGGTCCAGACACTGCTCACCCCCTTACCTCGGGGTCCTTTATCGCGCAAACTCTGGGCCTCCAGCCTGTGGCTTGGTTTCCCAAGTCAGGAAAGTAAAGATAGCAGTCCACCCCGACCGTAATCGGAGTATCTATCAGCTTCTGAGTCTTCGGATGAACTGGCTTTGCTTACAGAGTCCCATTGTCCCTGAAACAGGAGGAAAAATGGCCCGATTGTCAGCACTTGGTCATCCGCAAAGGTCACTTTCTCCACAGAATTGGGAATTGAATTGCTAAACCTGGCTCTTTCAAACCAGACATCATTCTTGAGCGGGCCTTCAGGTTGTTTAGGCATGCTCACCCGTCCTTTTTGGCCTTCTTATTTCTATGTTGTGCCTCTGTCAGTAGACCAGATCAGTAAGCTGGGGGGGGGGGACTAATCTTCCTCTTCTCTGCGTTTCTAGTCTATCTACCATATCAATTCAGATATTCCTGGGTGTGAATTCTCTGCTTTCCCGTTTTACATCACGAACTTGCTTCAAGTTAGGACCCAGGAATGTCAATATCTACAGGATGGTTACCAAAGGCCCCAAACAGACATTAAAAGTAAGTCTATGACTAATGGTTGAAAATTTTATCCATTCCCTCCTGGTGACTAATGCAGGAATGTGTGCCACCTCAATGTTCTCTTTCCCTTAAGGCATTAGCACCTATTTAAAACTAATAAGATTTGATTTTCCTTATCTCAGAAAAGTCATGATTTATTCCCAGATCTAAGTTTTCTCAAATGAGTGCCCCATATTAATTGTTGAGGTGTGCATGAGTGTGTGTTCACATGCAAATGTGTTTATGGGCTTCTAGCCTGGTACTGTATCACAAAACGAGCAGAGTGTAATAGTGCTTGCTTGTGATGGGTAGATGCCCTAGGAGACCTCTGTAAGTAGAGATAATTTACTTTCAGGGCCCAGAAGTACCTTACAGAGGGAGACAACTGTTACAAACAGCTGTGGACACTGGCAGCGGAATCGTGTGGCATGGGGATACTCTATGGAGCCAAAGGGATTTGTTCAATTAACAAGAGTTGATGGTTCTCCTGAGCAATTCTCGAGAGTCCAGCTAGCAATAAAAACACTTTCAAGAAGTCTTTATCAGGGCTGGGAGATAGCTCAGTAGAATATGTGCTTGCTTGGCAAGCACAAGGGCCTGAGTTCAATCCCAGTTCAAAGTCTTCTGTCCTTCCTAGAAGCTTTCCAAGCCGACAGTGACTGCAGATCCCTGGTTGGCCACACATGTAACTTCCAGTGGAACCCAGCTTCAAATGCCCCCAAATCAAGTCCTGCCAACAGCACTGTCTTCCTGTACTTAAAGCGCTCTCTGGAACAAGGACCAGACACCAAAGCAGAAACATCATTTTTAGAAGGGGCCCATTAAACTAGGGAACAAGCTGGGTCATCAACCCTACATTCTTAGCTAAATTAATTGAATTCTCTCATTGGTGCTATCAACCAGCATTTTTAAAACAGTATGTTAAGTGAAATTCCATATCACTTGTAACATTTTCTGTTTCAATTCGGATTTGTACTCTATTTTAAAAATAAAATAAATAGGGGGCCTGCCCCTTAACTCAGTTCTTTAAGTGGCTGCTTCAACAAAGCAGTTAGGCTCAGGTTGCTGTGGTTTGATCCCCAGGACTCAAACCTGCCCTGAAGGTATTCTGAGCCAGCCCCCCCAAAAAAAAAATCCTTCTGCCATTTAAAATAAATAAATAAATAAAAATAAAATAAATAAAGTAAATAAAAATAAAACAATATGTGTACACAACTGGTGATAATGTTAGATGATACTTGGTTGTTTTTTTTTGTTTGTTTGTTTTGTTTTGTTTTCATTTTAATGGTCAGGTCTTTTTTTCAATGCATATACCCAGCATACCAAACTGATTCTGTAGCTGGAGAGATAGTGTAGCAGTTTATGCATCAGGCTCTGCAGCGTGACTGCAGGTTTGAGCCCAAACTGATGCTGTCACAAATAAAATTACTCAGGGTGATCCTGATTTTTAAAGTCAATTTAAAGAGAAATCTTAATAAGCAAAAGTCACTGGATAGCAAAAAATACAGCTTTAACTTTCATAATAAATGAAGTCAGCAGGGTCCATGCAGATACCCATTTTTATCCTTTCAACTTAGTCTCTATGAGGAACTCTAGGACATAAAAGGAATCTTATTTTAAATCCTGTTCAAAAGAACTTTGAGACAGTGTTATCAGGCAAGTTGAAGCCCCTGGTCTGAGGGCCATATGAGAGGAACAGGGACACTTTGTACTGGATATGGGACAGACAGAGGAGGAGGCCTGGACAAGGACAGTCTATGGGCTACAATCTATAATCACAAGAGGCAGAACCCAAAACCTCACAGGCACCACTGATGAGAAATTGGACAGAATGCCAGAAAGACCCATCCTGGAGTCTCTAGGAGGCTGGTTTCCTAGACAACCTGAGCGCTCCATTCAATAAACTGTCCTGTTGCCTATCTAACCTGGGGGCTCTGCCTGCTACCTGGTGGTAAGGTAGGGAATACTTCTCTCCCTACTGTAACCATCCACGTCACCATTCTCATTCCAAGCAGACACCAGAAAGCCCACTCACTGCTGGGTGACAACTGGAAAGACCCTTACCTGCTTTGAGAAGATTCTCCCCATGCATTTGAGGTTCATCCGCATCTCCAGGGCTGGCTGCTTAGATTTCACACCTAGGGGTGACGAGACATCCAATGTGTAAGTGCTTGTGGAAAGCAGAGCCTACTGTAGTAGGAATAAATGAAATTTACTGACATTCCAAACACTTTTTTAAAAAGACAGTGACTCACTATGTAGTGTAGGCTGGACTTACTATGTAACCCAAGATTGGCCTCAAACTTGCTTCCATCCTCTGCCTCCGCCTGCCAAGTGCTGGTAATTTAAGCATGTACCACCATACTGGCATTTCTCAACATCTTTTAATCAACAGCTCCAAACCCTCGCAATATACCTCTGCAACCACTACCACCTTCTCCTCCTCCTCTTATACAATAAGTGTTCTTTTTCAGAGCTACTATTGTGTGGCTAATGTCTCTGTTAGATTTCTTTCTCCTGTCATTTCAGAGTCATGCATTTCTCGATGCCAGCTGTGCTAACAAGGTAGAGGACAGGAGAGAGCAAAAAGAAACATAACAGGCCTTCAATGGCCTCTGACTCTGGAAGGCATGAAGATAGTAGTTGAAGATCATGATTGCAATGAGGACTGAAAATGGATATAAAGTAGTAGTCGAGGACGTGACGTACATGATTTCCTGTCTTTTGGACGTACAGGAGGAGCATCAGCAGAATACCAAGTCTGGTGTACCTGTAACAAAAAAAGAGTGAGAAATAAATGCCAGACATTCCTCCAGTAACAGAAATCTAACAAAATAAAATGTTGTCCCCTCTTGAATCTCAAAAGGTGTTTTGATTTTTTTTTTTTTTTCAGAACCAGGGATTGAACTCAGGCCCCTGCACTTGCCAGGCAAGCACTTATTCCATTGAGCCATCTCCCCAGTCTCTGTAGGGCAGAGCTTTAACTCAGTGGTTGAGAAGTTGCCTAGCAAGCAGGAGCCCTTAGGATTCAGCCCCAGCATCGGAGGAAAAAAATCTGCTATAATAACAGACAATAAGTAAAGTGGAAAGAAAACTGAAGAAGATGCTTATAAAATGGAATAGGCAAAAGAGTGTAATCCTAATATTATGTAAACAGATTTATAAAAATCAATGAGAAAAAGCTAAACAGTGTGTAGAAAAATAGACAAATGAAGTACACTCTGTCTTTATTCTTCCTGGGTTCCATGTTTGTGAACTCACTGGCTTACTGAAATTTATATCTAACCCCGAAGTTAACATTCACAGCACTTTTGAGGCAATTTACACAGAATGACAAAAACCTGACATGCCTGTCCCAGCTGAGGTCACGCAGAGGGAACCGGACCTCCTCGGAGCTCCTGAATTGTAATCAGTGTCTTTTTCATCCTGATTTGAGCCACATTTTCAGCAATTTTTCTGGATGATTTTGTTATTTAAAATGGTCCCAAGCATAGAGTTCAGGTGCTGTCGAGTGTTCCTAAGTGCGAAGCTATGATTGTGCCTCATGGAGAAAAGGTGTGTAATTAATTAAGCTCCATTAATGTGTTGAGAAATTAACAATTTATAAATGAAGCGTCCTGAACTAGAAACATTCACAAAACACCTCCCGTACTGATCGCTTGGCAGAAATGCTGTGACAGTGGGTCCATATGGTGAACTCAGCGTTCACAGCAACTTCACAAAACCTAACTATTGTAAACCGTAAGACTCAACTCTAGTGGGGGGAGGGGATGTACAAATTGATAAACATAGGAGGTGCTCAATCATCAATAATCAAGGAAAATGAAATCAGAGACACAAAATAGCATCATCCATCAAATAGAAAAGCATTAATATTATTTTTTAAAACCAAGTGTTAAAGAATCAAGCACTCTTGGCACTCAAGACACTGGGGCATGAGGATCAGTGTGAATTCAAGGCCGCCTCAGCTACATAGTGAGTTCAAGGGCAGCCTATCCCAAAAGCACACAACAAACAAACAAACCAACCAAAGAAAAACACTGGAGTATTGCTCGATTATGAGGCTAATTCTCTGAAGGCAATTTAGCCTTTTGTAAGTTAAGCATACCTGTGACCCAAGAATACTACTTATAGGAACACACTCCAACGGGATGAATTTACAGTTGCAAAGCTGCATTTTCAAATTATCATCATTATACATTGTTTATAATAAATGATGAATTTTAAAAACCTAAGTGCCTGCTAATGAAGGATTTTTTTGTATTAATTTTATTGAGAAACAAATAGTAATGAGACAGTTTCAAAACAGGATAGAAGGACAGTTACAACAATTAATACATTGAATATTGCTGTCTTCATAGTAGTTATTCATAGTACAATATGCAGACATGATATCCTGTCCAAACACTGCTAGTACAAATCTTACTTCTCACTGAATTAAGAGAAAGTAGATGTATATCTATCCTAACTATTTTGTATATACAGATACAAAATGGTCTTTCATTTATATCCCCCTTTTTCATTTACTTTTGTCAGAGATGGGTATTCCATTGCCTTTTAAATACTGTAGATGTGTGAATTCAGCAAAATAGTCCAATATAGTCCAGTAGTTGTAGTGAGTTATCTGTATAACTGTGCAGACCTCAAAAGTCATCTCTGAAATTGCTGGGCTCCAGACCTTGTTCCCTGCTCTAGCTGTGCTTGCTACCACCCTCTTTGTTTGTTTTTTCTTTCCGTAATTTTATTCAGAAACAAATAGCAATGGGACAGTTTCAAATCAAATTAGTAGGACAGTTTCAATAATTAACACATTGCATGCTGTCTTCCTAGTGGTTATTTGTTGTACAAGATGCAGACATGATATCCTATTTACAAACACTATTAGAACAAATCAAAATTTAAACATCTTATCTTTTTTATTTATTTATTTTTTTGTGATACCAGGGATTGAACTCAGGATCCTGTGCTTGCCAGGCAAACACTTATTCTACTGAGCTATCCCCCCAGGTCATGAGGGATATTTTAAAATCCTGATATGCACAAGCAGTGGAATCTGATCTATCCATTAAGTATGATGTCAGATAACTATTTGTTAGCAATAAAAGATGCTCATGAAAATACTGAGTGATAAGCAGATTTGAAAGTATGGCATCCACTATGACCTCACTGACATACCATATACATATGTGCATGTATCTCTATGTACACATGGGTCAAGAAATATTTGTAAGGAAAGTCACTGAAGAGTAAATTGTGACGTCTTTGGGGGCGAGGAGAAAGATCTCAGATGATTTTTGCTTCTGCTTCTACTTCTGTACTCAATATTATTAGAAAGTTTATAATCAGAGAGAAGCAGTCTGAGTTCTAACTTTCACTGTTCTGCATGTCATTATTGCCTTGCATGGGACCAAGGAGAAGCTGGTGACAGTGACAGAAGTACTGCATCCTAGCTGTTCACAACTAGTAACACTGGCTGTTTTTGTGACCCATCACCTCTGGAAAGTTACACACATAAGAAGCCCTTGGAAACAAATGCGTGATGAGGGTGCTCTTAAAAGTCCTACCTTTTTCAGTTTGCTTTTTAAGAATATGTAGTATGCAATCAGGTAAGCTCTCAGTGTGTGAAAGATCACTGAGAAACAGTGGACTTACCACTCTGTGCTTGATTTCAAGTGGAGTTTTCAGGGACCCAGTTATATCAGGGAATCGGCCTGCATGTAAATGAAAAGGGAAAAAGAGGATTAAATCCACTGTAAAATTTCTTATTGTCCCAATTAGATACACACGTCATTTGTTTCCCTTTAGTATCTGACCGACAGAAAAATAACAGTCAATCAGGTAAGACAAAAAGCCATGACTGAAATTAATTTGTGTGGAGCTTTGGGGAGGGGTAAATATTTTTATGTCTAGAATACTCTTTTGATACATGGCTTATACTCTTTGAATCAGAATTAACTGAGATTATGCTGAAATGCCAAGGCTGTAAATTTTCTTTAAGGTCCCAAGAAGTTCAGGTGTATTCTTTTAACAGCGTTACTGAGGTCTAACTTACCCTCAAATAAACCCAACTCTAAGTGTACAGTTTAATGATTTTCAGTCAATTTACCAAGTTATGCAACCATCACTCATCCAGCTTTAGAACATTTTCATCACCCTAGTGAAATACCTCATGCCTGTTTATAGTTAACCGCCTTTTCTACCATTATTCCCAGAAAATGACTAATCTCTGTCTCTGTAGATCTCCCTTCATTCGCTATTTCATAAAAATGGAATCATACATTATGTGGTCTTTCATGTCTGGCTTCTTGTATTTAGCATAATGCTTTTTAGGTTCAGCTATTTTGTGCTTACTTGAATATTTTGTTCTTATTTTATTACTGAGTAGTATCGTATTGTATGAATATACCAGATTTGTTATCCATTCGTCAGTTAATGGAGATCAAAGTTGTCTCCAATTTTGTCTACTGTGGCCTACACTCACTTGCAAGTCTTTGTACATATGTCTTCATTTCTCTTGGACAAATTCCTAGATGTAGAATTTCTGGATCCTATGGCACACTTATGTTTAACTTTTAAAGAACTGTCAAACCGTTTTCCAGAGTAACTGCACTATTTCCTATTCCCGTCAGTAATGAATGTTCCAGTTCTCTTATACCCTCACCAACGTCTAGCGTCTGTCCTTACAATCGTAGGTTTTCTAATAAATGGGAAGCACAGTTACACTGTGTTTTTATCTTGCATCTCCATAGTAACTGATCATGTTTAGTTCTCCAGTATTTTTATTAAAAATAACCAAATACACGGCAGAAAGGGGGCCTGACTTGGCATTGTATGATAAGGTCTGATCAGTAAGAGTGAATGGGAAATGGAACAGACTTTGGCAAACGCTCATTGTTATTTGTGCTTCTATGCTGGTAATTTTTTTAAGCCAGAGTCAAAGAGCTTGATAAGTATTTAGTGAAATTCCTATAGTAAACAAATCTATTCTATAAAAGCAGATAATTTTTCCATTCTCTGTGAATTCTATAGTCTTTCAGAGGTCTGTAAGACTTTTATAAACCTCATGGGCCTACCAGAGGCTTAGCTAGCTTTCTTTCATACCTCATTTCCAGAATTATTCTAGATAATCATTCATTAGCAAGCACTGCGGTTATATGACATTAAAGTTTTACAGAAAGTTATTTTGAGGCATTTGTTGTACTATGAAAAACAAATTCCAGATATGCGAATTTGTGCTAGGCCATTGCATAAGGTATTTACACTATTTGTGCCCATCTTTTAGCCAAACTTGGTCTGACTTAGGAATGTCCCTCCTTAAGTCTGTGTATGCAGAGGGCTAGCCGAAAACTCACAGATGTTGGAATTATAGTTAGCCAAAGAATTTTCTTTGCCATTTTTGCAGTTGAGATAATAGAGCCCACAGTGCAATTTGCCCTTCGAGATTTCATCCCACTTTTCATTAAGAATGCTTAACATGACCCTATCCACCAGCCTACATCCACTTCCTGCTTCCACTTCTTAGCCCTACCACTGCAACCAAATTGGTCAATCTGGGTGATTAAATTCACCATCTGAACAATTGCCCAAAATTTCACCATTAGATATTTGGTCCTTGAATGTTGTGCCAACCCTGACTGAGTATTACAGGGTTTTATTTGCTACAAGGTGCTTATCAAGAAGGCGGTGTAGGCTGGCCAGCTCTTACAGGATCAGCTCACAGGCGTCAGGATTCTTCCAGGTCTTTCTTTTTATGTATTTGGTACAGGGCATGGCATGTAGTACCCGGGATCGAAACTGGGTCCCTGCACTTGCCTAGGCAGGCGCTTAGACAGCTGAGCTGTTTCTGTGGCCCTCTTCCAGGTCTTCTATACTAGTCGTTTAGTCCACTTACTGGCTGTCTATCACAATACAACTGTCAGCCTTATTTGTCACTTGTTTTTCTTTTAATAGACTGGAGCTAATTCGGTCTCCCAACTTCCCATCTCTCAGTTCCTTGAAATTTTGACTCCCTTGAAATGAAGATGCATGAACATAAAACATAATGTTGAAAGATGAAGGCAAATCCTTCATCCTTCTAAAAATTATGCGTACACAAAGAAGGAGAATGTAGGTTAAACATTAACAGCTCTTAACCCGAAGTTCTGAGAGACCTGCCTGACTGGCTTGGAGAAGTGTCCTTATGGCTATTTTGAAAAGAAAGCACAGAACTTTCATCAAATTTTTCTAAGAGTCTTAAAAATTTAAAGTATCACTGTCTTAGAGAAAGACTTGTTAACCCCTGCGATAGATTACAGAGCAAATCTTTTTCCCAACAGAATTTTAAGAATAATGGGTAGAGTAGTATGTGTATGAAATAAAAATTATTCTTCAGGTTTTTTAAACTGTACTCATTTCTTGAGTAAAATAATATAACAGTTAAGTGAGAACACATTCTTACTGATGGGAGACACATGCCAAAATATTTGGAAGTACGCTGTTATGGTGCGTTTATTCTCAAGAACCCAACAAAGAAGCACACACAGGTAGCGGTATATAGAAACTGAGAGACAGCAAATTGTTAATAAATGTGGCAGAATGTTGGTGAATCTAGGAGAGATCAGGTGGTATTGACTGCAATATCTTTTTGCAACTTTTCTATGGATTTAGCTATTTGTTTCATGTTGTAAATAAAAGAGTAAGACATTCATTGATGTATCTTAGCTTCTCCACTATAAAAACCAGGCCCTGAAAAAAATTAAGAAAACTAGGCAGCAGCAGCATGAGTTACATTTGAGCTATAATTAAAGACAGCCCTGAAATCAATGCTGCACCCTCTCCCTATCTTCCCTTCACATAACTCCAGACCTTGTCACAGGCAGACACCTGGTGTGTTCATGGCACCCATTGAATCGCTGCACAGCCCACTACAGAGCTATCTTTTAAGTTCACAGGCAAAGTCAACTGCAGCCACCTCCTAGTGGATGTTATGCTTGAACAGGAAAGTGCATGCAGTAACAGATGGCATCTTGTGACCTTCTTAATAACAGGCTTGGCTGCCAATGTTCCCTTGTGTCCGGGCTCTGCAGGGAATTTGGAAACTGTTGCCTTACACTTGAATATTTTCTGGCAAACATATTTAACCATTTGTTAGTCAGCTTCCTAATTTAAAATAAAGAAGGCAACACTACAGAAAACAGAATCCCCACCACCTGGAAGGGACACCGGTATTTCCTGAGTCGGGAGGCCCATCCTGGGACTCTCTGGCACGTGCCAGGAGCATCATCTGGTGTGGTATGCAGTGTCCTTTGCAGTGTGGTATGAAGACTTAGGTTCCAAGCAAAGTAGGCTCAATGCTGCCTAGATTTATTGAGGGCCAATACTGTCTTTTCTCCTTTTTTTGTAGTTTAAATGAAATGTATGCACTTCTCACAGTGAAGCACACAGGTGAGACAGAAAGCAAACACAATTCTGGTATTAAAAGTTCCTTCTGCTGTGACACTTTACACCTAGTGTGAAAGTGGGGAGTCCCACAGTGAGCAAAGCTGATACTGACTCTGCTTGTTCCATACCCTGGATAGTAGTGGCCACCAAGATTCACAGTGGGGAGCAGGGGGAGGGGGAGGGTGGTATAGGGTGGAGGATCCTGTCCCCTGGCCTCTCTGCCCCCATGGTCCCACAGGGACAGCCTTGCTTTGTGGGCAGTGAAAGGCAATAAGGGTGGTCCTGAGGAAAGACAATGAAGACACTTATGCCACAGCCTTTCCTTGCCTCTTCTCTACTCATCAGGATGGGCCTGTAAGGTCTTGGACCAGAAGGGAAGTGGTCGAATGTGTCCTTGCCGTGTGGTGCATATGAAGAACATGATGGAGAAAAGGTAAGAGAAACACTTCCAGTGTATACATGGTGGGAAGGCACATGTGGCACCTTGGAAACAGCAGTTCAGTTGACAGGTGGCCTACTGTGTGGAGTCACACAGAAGTAAGGATAAAGTCTTCTTGGGGGAGGTAGGTAGATGGGCTTCATCCTGGCTGCCTGCCTCTAGAGCTGAAGGGGAGGTACGAGTCTTCCTGTTGGCCCCATTTCAGGACTACAGAATACAGGGGCCCTTGGAGAGACCCCATGCCTAGTAAAGCTGACCTGGTTCAAGGGGTACAAACTGACCCTGGTATAGGGGCCTTGACTGGAGATCTGTGAGTCTCTCCCAAGAAAGTTGGCAACAGGGCTCCTGCTTCACTGCCATCTGTCCCTTTGTGATCCATCCCAGAGCCAGTCTACAGTCCCTGCCTCATGCAGACAGAGCCCCTGGATAGAAAGCCCACCTTTTTCAGGCTTGCCCTCACCCATGTACCTCTACCTCCACTCTTGGCCCACAGCCTGAAAGAGTAATAAGCTTTGAAAATGACCCAAAAATAGAACAAGGCAGCATCCTTGGGACATAACCAAAGCAAAACAGTGAAGCTTGGAAGCCATGAGCCCCCCCCCCCCCCGGTGAGAACTGGGAAGTCTCTCCTTGGGCACCCGTTGTTCCCATTGGCATTCACCTGCTCTTTTCTTTCTCCCTCTCCGCAAGGCACTTTTACAGTCACTTTTAACATGTATGTGTGTTTCAGGTTTGAGGGCTGTCTGGCTAATTTGTATGAGCCCATCACAGAACCTGGGCAGGGGACAGAGGGTAGCTGTGACCAAAATCAAGGCATGTGCTTCTGTGCCATGAGTTGGCTGGTCATCCCATTTTTAAATGCACTCTATAGGACTCTATAAAAACTGTCACTCAAAACACAACTTTGTGAAAAGGCTGATTCTATAAATGACATCCTAATTCTAACAAGTAATTTATAAATTGTCTTTTGGAAGAAGAAGTACAAGAAGGGCCAGCTCTGTAAGACAGTATGTGTGGAAAGGAAAATGCCAGCAACGGAAGGAGCAATGAAACCATTGATCAGCGACGTGGGGCATCTGGTCTGTGTTGAGCCCTGTCCAGGAGACAGAAATAGAAGAATAAACATGACAGACAAGTTCCTGCCCTCCTGAAGCTTACATTCTGGAATGATACAGAGGTATTAAATTAGTAAACAAGCCCAAGAATACATAGTAAGCAAAGGGGGCACAGCAGAGAAACTGAGAAGGCGAGAGTATGAAGGACATAGCTTTAAACATGGCATCCAGGGAAGCCTTCTTTGAAAATATGAAATTTAAATCCAGAACTGAGAGTGATAGCTCAGCGGAGAAATAAGGACAGTATGTGTAAGGTGCTGTGGTAGAGAACGGCGTGGCATTTCTATGTTAAGTCAATAAGTCAACATACGTAAAACACAGTGAGTAAAAATGACAAGAGATGAAATGAAGGGCCGGCCAAATAACTCAGCAGACTAAAGTGACTGCTTAGGCAGACACAGGGGACAGGAGTTCACCCCCGGGGGGCGCTGAGCTGGCAATTGAGACTGAACATGGTGGTGCGTGCCTGTAATCCCAGCACTTGGGAGGCTGTAAACAGGAGGATCACTACAAGTCTGATCTAGTACTGAGACCCTGGACACCCTGTAGATCCTGTCCTAGATACAAAAAAGAGAGAGAGAGAGAGAGAGAGAGAGAGAGAGAGAGAGAGAGAGAGAGAGAAACATGAAATGAGACAGGAAAGATAGGCAGACTCCCATTCATGCAAGTCTTCACAGACTTTGGAATCTAACTATGATTTTATTGCAGGTACAAGAGAGACAGAGAAGCAGCATTTTCTTCGTCCATTAAGGTCTCCCTGTGTGGGGAAGGACAGGCTTGGCAAGACACACCTAGAATGCTTACTGCTTTTTGAATCTTTCTAGGTTTTTTGAAGGCTTTCCCAAAGAATATAAGCAATGTTAAAGGACTGGGAGAAAAATGAGTATGTTTAAAAATGGACACAAATAGTCTTAAAATAACATTGCAAGTCATATGCATATTATTGGGTTCTTGTCAATATTCTAGACACATCATCAGCCATATAAAAGGAGGGTGTGTGATCCAGATAGCTGCCTCAGACACTTGGAACGTGTTGTCTGTGGTTAGGAAATGCCCAAGGACAGCTTGCACACACTGTGATCTGGGCTTAGAGATATATCTGCCGTACGAAACACCACCCGCACATAACACATCTTAGGAGATAGCAAGAACAAAAGAGCCTAACTTACTCTTTGGCAAGGATGCTATAAGCCCATCCCAGGGCTGTACAGGTGTAGAACATAGGTATAGGGATGAGGACAAAAGAAAGGGAGGGATGGCTCATGAATGCTGGCCTGCAAAATCAGTGTGCATCATCCTGCCGTGTTCTTGAGATAGCTTCTTCAGACAAAAAGCTGGACAGAAGCTTAGGGATTAGACAAAACTCAATAGAAACTGTTTAGCAAGAAGTAAACAAGCAGAAAGTTGAATTGGCTATTTCATATTGAAATGAAAATAGAAATTTTCATTCATTTCAAAATTTTTAATATGAAAATTTCATATTTCATATTGAAATATTATGATGCTTGATCTTCTTTGTTCTTTGAGTCTGAGAGATAAGCAAGTGACCGGACCACAGCCTCATCCAGGGAGGGAGCTGGGTCAAAAAACCACAACCAAATCAAACACCTGCAATGAAATTTAATATTAGTGCAAAAGGAAAATCATCTAATGTAGGCAGAACAAATATGACTGAACTCTTTGAAAGCCAGTTGTGAAAAAAAATGTGAGCACTCTCTTGCTTATGAGATCATAAATCATTTTTAAGGAAGAATGGTCTATCTCATCTGCCTACTCCTGGCAGATGTTCCAAGGGGGCAGTCAGTAGGCCGATATCCACTAGTGGCAAGCAAATTCATGTAGCTGGCATATATTGACAATGTGACCCTGCAGTTCATGTTTTAAATCTCTTCCTTAGGGAATTCTAGCCCAATTAAATTGGGCCTAAAAAAAATCCAAAAATCAGATGCGGAAAATGAAGGAAAGCTCAGAAAGAAGTTATCATGTGAGCAAATTAAATTTTGTCATGAGGTATTGTCAATCACTCAATGAAGAAAATAAATATCAGTTATCTTAAAATGATACTTGAGAATGAATAAGACAATATGGACAGATTAATAAGTCATCATTATGAATATATACACTTAGGCCATTTTACCTGGCCATAAAAATAGGAGAGGATACAAGAAACAAAATACAACCTATTACATAGCAATAAATTATTGCATTTTTTTCCTCGTTATTACCCTTCAAAGACTTTTGTTCCTCCAACTGTGGACCTCACAGCAGCTTGTGTAAACCATGAGTGGTGACTGGTGTTAAGCAATATTCTGAAGAACACAAACAGCAGCAAATGAGGAACAGGATTGTACTGTGAGCCACTCAGATGTACCGTCACTTGGCCATTCTATGAAAGATGTGACCAGGCTACTGGATTTCCTGCACACTGGCTCAGCCTTGTGTCCAAACAACAGCAGTATCTTTCAGGTTTCTGTTCTTTACTGCCACAGGACAAAAAAGTCCTTCCTGATTTTAACAATAGCACAAATTCTTACCTCTGCTGTCCTCCTATATTGATAAATGATAAAGGAAGCCTTCTCTAGAACATACTATTCCTATAAAATAGAATTTTATTAGGAAAACCAGCCAAACAGCCCTCGTCAAGGTAAATGTTATAAAACTTTGTCTTATTCAGTCAGGAAGTATTCACGTGGCTGCAGGGTAAATTTCTACTGTCTTGTCCCCCCACACAAAGACACATGAACAGATTAAAACTTTAAATACTACAGCAAATGGGCAAGCATCACCAGAATATTTTATAACGTACTTAAAATTTCAGTTTGAGTTTATAATTATTAATCTTACTCAACTGCTGCAGCTTCAATACAGAGATACAAATAATAAGGAAGATCCATTGTGTGGCCTCCTCCAAAGCACAGCTCAAGGCAGCATGGGCAGGTGTTTCCTTCCCTAGTGCACAGCCGTTGCCAGGATAGGGCTGCCCAGCCCGAGACTCCACTTGCGCGCTCTCTGGCATCACACCGGAAGGCGAGCCGAGTGGGGCGTGTCACCTGCTGGCTGAAGGGGTGCAAGAGCATATGTGCTCCCTTCTTTCCCCACCTGCCACACAGAGACAAAAGGACCCCAGGGGACAACGTCACCCCAAGAGGAAGGAAGTCTATCTATGGCCTTACATCAGGACACATGGAAAGTCTGTACGAAGAGCAGTCACTTTGGCCTTTACGGCTTTCGCTATTACAGCAGTTACTGTTAACAACTGAAAACAGGTACACAGGCTATAATTTGAAAATAAAATTTACTGTTGGTTAGCCCATGTGAAAACAACCTAAGTGTCCAATAATAGATGAATGGATTAAAAGCATGTGATATGTCCGTGAAATGGAATATGATTCGGCCTTAACAAAGAAGAAAATTCTGCCGTTTGTGGCAACGTGGATGAACCTGGAGGATATTAACTGAAATAAGTCAGGAACAGAAAGAAATACTGCATTGTATGATTTCATTTATATGTGGAAGCTAAAAAAGTCAAAGTCACACAAATGCAGAAGGGAAATTGTGGTTGCCAGGAGCTGAGGGGTGAGGAAAGTGGGGAGAATTTGGGCACAGGGTACCAACTCTCAGTTACAAGATGAGTAAATTCTAGGGATATAGTGTACAGCATTATGGCTATAGTTAATAAAAAATTGCTGTATATTTGAATTTTACTAAGAAAGTAGCTATCACTTGTTCTTATCTTGCACATCCACAGAGTAACTGTGATATGTCAATTGTACTTATTGTGTTAATCATTCCATAATGTACATGTGTATTAAAACATTATGCTATGTAACCTAAGTACATGCAATTTGTATTTGTCAATTATACCTCCGTTAAACTGGGAGAAAAATAACTTGAAAGTTAGATCTATAGCAACCTTGGCAAAGAGGCTGTGCTCAGAAGAACTGATGATGTTGCACTTACCTTTAACATCTTTAGTCTCTTGGGTATCAGCTCCAGAGAGTGGAGGATTGTGGGTAGAGCTGTTTGGCAACCATGTCCTAAACAAAGCAAATAGCAGAAACAAGTTTTATATTTACAGGCTTACAAATCATGTAACCCATAATTTAGAGAGTTTTCACTCACTTTTCATTTGGTTTCTTAAATTTTTGCTGCTTCTCTACCTCTCTTTCCTTGCTTCCAACCACAACCCTATACTCCCATTAAATCAATCTGAGTTGGATTTTCACACTGCCTTTAAAAGGTTTGTGGGCTGGGGAGGCAGCTTAGCGATCTAAGCGTCTGCCTGGCAATTGAAAGGACCCAGGTTCAATTCACGGTACCACATGCCATGCCAGCCCCAGAACCCGGAGCCCCTTGCTTGTCCTGAAACCCAGCATGGTGGTGCACCCCTCTAATCCCAGTGCTGGGGATGTTGAGACAGGAGGAGCCCTACGAGTCTGAACTGTGTAGTGAGACCCTGGACCAAAAGTAAACAACCAAAAATATTGGTTTATTCTCTGCTTTTTCATAAAACGGTAAGATTTTCAACTTCTGTGCATGAAAAGCCAAAACATTAAGTTCATAATTATTTCAACAGGATTTCTGAATGTTTCCCTGAGGAATTGCTTTCAAAATAAGATAAGTGCTATGTATGCAATAGAAATGATTACAGTAATTACACTGGTTTCCAAATAAAACTTAAAAGTTAATGGCAGTGGGATAGCTTGGCAGCTCGCAGATGCTGTGTCTATCCTTTCAGAGACATCTGTATCTCAGTTTCCCTGAATACAGATATGACGTTCTTTTTAAGCAAGAAAGAGCATTTTAGGAATTGCGAATTATTTTGTGTAGAATGGACAAAGTTATGAGTTCATGAGGTGCAATGCACAATAGCAATGATTTGGAAAACACAGAGACTACATTACTAGAGGCAGGCAAGTTTAGGATTGCTCTGTCATCCTGTAGGATTGATCCAGCTATTAAAATGAGATGTCCTCCCTTAACCCTAATACAGTATTTCCTGCCTTCTGACCATCCCATCTAGAGCATGTCTCTTCCTAGCCTTCTGCCACTTCCTCTTTACTTTTTAATACATTATTTCTTTAGAGCAGTTTTAAGTTCACAGCAAAATAGAAAGGTGTGGAGATATTCCATATAGTCCCTGCTTCACATAAGCACATCTTTCATTTGTTACAGTAGAAACATAATTACTCCTGAGACATTAGGAGTGATTACATTAGGGTCCACTCTTCATGTTGAAAGTCTATAGGGCTGGCCAAGTATAATGGGATGTAACCTTCATTATAGTAAAAAAAGGTATATATA